GACGTGAACAACAGAACAAAATGACGCTGCTGAAGACGTGTCACCTGAAAAAGCTACTGTCGAAGAAGAAACTCTACTCGGTTTTGAGAAAAAGGAAACAGTGAAGCCCTTGATGAAGTTACTACCACTGATGTGACTGTTACCGATGATAAGACATTTCCTGATGAAGCAGATGAACCCCACATGAAGCAGAAGCCAACCGAGATGGAGACCAGTACGGAAGAAGATATGTCCCGTAAAATTAAGAAACTTTGTTGAATTGTAATTTTGTGTTTGTAAATTCTGTACATTTAATTAAGTTATTGTTTATTGGTTTAATGTAAGTGGCTATTGTTCGGGACGAACAATACTAAGGAAGAGGCAGTGTTACGACAGCGTTGGTCACGTGATGCTAGTAACATGTCATGCATTTCTAGAACGTTCATGAAACCTCGGGAGGTTGCTTGATTTCGGTATTCTTGTACATATAAGACGGTCAGGACGTGACGGCAACAATGTGTAATTGAACTGCGGACCGAGAGAGAGAGACGTATTGTTGAGCACGTGAGACGTTCGTTGTGAATTATAGCGTTTGTTATAGCGCGACTATGGAAATTAAGTGTATTGCAAAGTTGTATTGAGAAAGAATAAACCAGTTTTATTTAAGAAAGGACTTGTATCGGTGAAGTTTCTTCGGAAAGAATTTTTGCGGAAAATTAACTAACGAACGGAGGCGTAACAATATTATACGCTGGGATTTAGAATTCAAATATAATAGCTTTTGAACAGGATGCTCGGCTGCTATTAGATTGAACTATGTATTTGTGCTTCCATCTGTCACTTTAAATTGTAATTAAAACTATATTAGCACTTTTTGTTGTTCTATACATTTTTCTGTTCAGGTCTTACGTTATTCTTGTTATTTTCCAGGAATTATTGTAGAACGCCTAAAACTCTTAAAGTGTTTCTTTTAACTGACTTTTTGAAATTCTTATATAATCCAATTTTTTTGCTGTTCAACAGAAACAAATTAAATGGCATTAATCTAAGCTTTGTTAGTTGCACAGCAGTATGTCTGAGGACTTATAACGCTAGAAACCCCATTTCGATACCCGTGCTGGACATAGCACAGATAGCCCATTTTGTAGCTTTATGCCCAACTTCAAACAAACAAACACATGATAAAAATGTTTTTTTCCAAGATGATAAAATAATGGTTTGTGATAAATAAATATTTTCTCCTATTTGTGGAAAACAATATTGTTGATCTTTTCCTTGTAGCAATGCCGTATATTCAATGAATTTAATTTTGTTATGAACATCTCTGTTATTTTGTAACAGATTCTGTTGTTAGGTGGGTTCTTTTGGATTATTTGGTAAAAATAATGTGAGATCCAGTCCATGTAATGATAACATATTAGTTTGTTTCTTTTATAAAGTTTTACAGATTACAATCACGTTGACACAAGTTGTGGGCCAAAGTTCACAAATAACTTTTCAATGTAAACACTGCAACTTAATGCACTGATGTTGGCCTAACTTGAAATACAACATCTCAACTTAAACTTCATGACATACACCAAATTTAATTAACTTTTATAGATAAACAAATACGTAGCTCATCAAGTAACTAAATATATTTGATAAAATTGTGACACTGAACTGAGTGATTGATTACTTACAAAATTAACAATTACTACTGAATAAGTACTTCACTTACTGATTAGCACTCTGACACTGATTAACTGCTTTCTTATATTTATAACTAATATCTCCATATAGATTTTGATCGAATTTACTAGCTTCTAATCTCATGCACTCTCTAACTAACAGCTAAATTAAAACATTGAAAATATAGCTTACAATACTGCCCCTTCCTAGATTTGAAGTATTTTGTACAATCTAATCCAAAAATAAAAAATTACACTAAACTGTCCATTCATCAAGCCTTTTCAATCGTTTTCTTTCCCAAGGTTCATAGTATGTAGATTGAATGATCTCTTGTCCCTTATCATCATGGGCTGTCCTGTTGCTGGGGATGTTCTTCCTAAACAGGTGGTTGAGTGAATCCACTAGTGGTCCTATCCCTGTTGAACCTCAAGAAGCGGTCTCGGCAGGAACCTTGGACTCTCCACAAGCAAATTTTTATCTGGTGTTACCCAATTAGCTCTTCTCTCACTGACATACTGTGACATACCTTTGACTTGGACTGCCTGTTCATCTGGATTCTGTAATTCACATCACACTGTTTTCCTTACAGTGTTTGGCCTTTCTAAACACCTACTTAGCTTTGGATATTACCCTTCTTTGTCAGTTCTATGTGAACTTCACTGAAATAATCCCACTTCAGACACCAGTTTTATAATGTGTTATATCGTTAGGCGGGTTCTTTGGATTACTTGGTATAAATAATACGAGATCCACTTAACGGTCTTTTTTGTTTGTTTGAAGTTAAGCACAATGCTACACAATGAGCTACCTGTGCTCTGCCCTTCACAGGTACCGAAACCCGGTCCGCAGACATACCGCTATGCCACTGGGGGGGGGGGACTTAAAGATATGGAATTAGTTATTTCTTTTATAATGTTTCTACGGGTTACACTCACGTTGACCCAAGTTGGAAGCTAATAACTTTTCAACCTAAACTATGAGACATACACCTAACTTAATCAACTATGATAGATAAACAAACACGTAATTCACAGAGTAACTGAATAACGAATAACATAATAGACGTGATAGTTCGGTAACTGATCTGACTAACAGATTACTCACTAAATTTTCTGTTACTACTCACTAACTTTTCAGTTTTCAAAAATACTTCTTTGACCGAATTACATTCTGACACTAACTGCTTACTCGTACTTATATCTCTTATAACTGTATATAATGCGCCTATCTAGATCTTAGTCGCCCACACAGCTGGTCAGCTGTAAGTCAGTAAGCTTAAATCGCTAAAAATAAGGTTTCGATACTCGTGGTGGGCAAAGCACAGGCAACCCCTATATAATTTTATGCTTAAAAACAACCCAACCACCCTAGATCTTAGTCGAATTTACTAAATCTTAGGCCCGGCATGGCTAGGTGGTTAGGGCACTCGACTCGCCATCTGCGGGTCGCGGGTTCGAATCCCCGTTACACCAAACATGTTC